AAAAAAAAAAAAAAAAAAAAAACACTTCATCCCGATCTTTCAATTTTCAAACTGAAGACTAAACAAACAAAAAAAAAATCTGTGTATTGCAGAAACCGACAGGTTTTTTTCAGTCTTCCTCTGCCAAAAAGATGACCAAAAATGTCTCAGGTAAAAGAAAACAAAAAAAACAGCTCTGTTTGTGTACGTCTAAGGCTCCAAATTTACCGTCGTTTGTGTGTGCAGGTGATTTTGAAGAACAGTAGGAGGAGGAGGAGGACGACGGGAATAAGTAAATGAAAATGATAGAGACACGAGGATCATGGATTATTATTATTATTATTATTATTATTATTATTATTATTATTATTATTTTGTTCCCTGGCTTTCTTGTCAATGTGGGCAGTTGATTGGAAAAGGTTGAATTATTTGGGAAGTTATTGTATTATTGTTGTTTTCACCTTTTGGAAGATGTGTAAATTACAAAGATATGAGCGAGAATTTGTCACTATTTATCTATTGCCTTTTTCTTTTAAATACTAATAATATTAAGTTGCGATTATTTGGGCTCCATTGCCACTCTCCAAAGCCCACCGAGAATTGAAGTCCAAAAGTAAAAGGCTCAAGAGGCCCATACAAGAATTGAAGTGGGCTCTTAAATAAGGCAAAAGCAAAGCCCATGCACACGTGTCTCTGGAACGAGGATAAGATGGAGTTGAAAATATATACTAAATTAATAAAACATATCAAAATAATTAACGAAAAGGAGATAGAGATTTGTGTTGGGAGGGGGGAAGGGGAAGGGGAAGAGGTGGGCCCACCAGAGCGTGGCTTTGTAAAGAGTGCCAGCTCAGCAGGTTTGACTGGTACTGAGATCTAGAAGACCGGTTTTGTTTTTTTGTTTAAATTCATATGCCTCGTTTTGGCAAATCCAGAATCCCGCTCTTCTCTCTTTGCTTATTTTTATTTTTATTTTTTCTTCCCTTCCCTTCCCTTCCCTCATTTATACTTTTCTTCCTCTTTTGGAGCTTCAATTTGAGGTAATTACATAAATGCAGGCTTTTAAAATATACTTTTAAGGGGGGGGNNNGGGGGGGGGGGGGGGGATTTAATTCAAGTTTCATGTACAGAGGATTTGACCAGACTAATTGAAGACAGATTTGTGGTGTCTTGTGGGAATGAATTAAAGCCTTTCATTAGTCAATAATAATAATAATAATAATCCGAAGACGACCCTACCGCAAAGTTTCTTGGACTAATAATTTGCTTTAGCTTTTGCTTTTGGTGCTGCAGAGAGAAGAGAAGACCGAAGTGCACGTGCGGTGCACGGTCCGTCATCTTGTTGTGCAGTAAAACAGGGTGTTATTATATCCGGTAATATCCATTTTCTTCCTCCTTCCTTTCCTCCGCTGTGTTGGATGAAATGTTTGTTTTTTGGATGTGGGTCATCATTTTCTAATCTCCACTTTCATTATTTCCCCCTTTTTGAGAGCTTCAAGAGGAAGCTTTGGAATTGGGGAACCAAAAATGTGGTCGCCTTCGTCTTTGCTTTGGTGATGATGGTGGTGGTGGTGGTGGATAGTGTAAAGATGAAGAAGGAGATAATACCCTTTTGACCACAGAAGAAAAGAAAGGAAAAGGAAAAAGAAAAGCAAAGAAAAGCAACAAAGTGAGCAACCATTGCTGCCTGTGATTGTCAATGAGAGCGACAGTGTAGCGTAGGAACCCCAAAGCATCGCTACCCTCTCTCTCTCTCTCTCTCTCTGTTTTTTCTTACTTTTCCTTCCCACACGTTCCTCTGCTCTCCCTTCTTCAACTTTCCTCTGTTTATATACCATTTTGATCACATTCAGATTCATCTCCAGTTTTCACAACACAGTTTTCTAAAATGCCCATCTACCACCCCTCCATTTGTACACAACGGGATCCCAAGCTCCTCGTCGACTGCGGCGCGCACATTCTAGATCTCCAAACTGTGGTCAAAGATGGCATTCTTGGCGGCGGAGGCGGGGGGGTAATCGCCACCGATGGCGGTGCCCAGAAGTTGGATCTCAAGGAGATGATTGAAGAGCTGGAGTCGTCCATAGAGGTCCCATCGGTGTTCATTTGCCCAATCTCGCTCGAGCCCATGCAAGATCCAGTCACCCTCTGCTCCGGGCAGACCTACGAGCGGTCCAACATTCTCAAATGGTTCTCTTTAGGCCACTTGACTTGTCCCACAACAATGCAAGAGCTTTGGGACGATTCCGTCACACCGAATCGGACCCTTCACCAGCTGATTCACACCTGGTTTTCGCAGAAGTACTTAGCATTGAAGAAGAGATCAGAGGACGTGCAGGGGAGAGTTTTAGAGCTCTTGGATTCGTTGAAGAAGGTCAAGGGCCAAGCTAGGGTTCAGTCCCTTAAGGATCTCCGACATGTCGTCACCGCCCATTCCTCCGTCAAGAAGATGGTGGTCGACAACGGCGGTGTTGCTCTAATCTCCTCTCTTTTGGGTTCTTTCACTTCCCACGCAGTTGGGTCGGAAGGCGTGGGGATTCTCGTCAATTTGGATCTGAATTCAGAGTTGAAGAAGAATCTGATTCAACCCACCAGAATATCCCTAATTGCAGATATTTTAAACGAAGGGTCCATCGAAACCAAGATTAATTGCACCAAATTCATCAAGATGTTGACGGAGGGCGATGCTTCAACAATAGAGAACGTTTCGAGTTTAAGTCTCCTCGTCGGATTGTTGAGAATGGTGAAGGATCAAAGACATCCAAACGGAGTAACCGCCGCACTCACTTTACTCCGAACGCTTTGTTCAAACGAATCAATCAGAAAGCAACTCGTTGGCATCGGTGCCGTCGCGAAACTCGGCGGCGCTCTCTCCGGCTTAAACGCCGAAAGCTTGGAGTCAGCGCTTTATATTCTCGACGTTTTGTCGTCCCTTCCAGAGGGGAGATTAGCGTTGAAGAATTGTGAAGATACAGTTAGAAATTTGGTGAAATTGTTGATGAAAGTATCGGAGATTTGTACAAGATTTGCGCTATCGATTTTGTGGGCGGTGTTCAAGCTAGCGCCGGAGGAATGTTCGGTGCTCGCGGTGGAGGCGGGATTAGCGGCAAAATTGCTGCTTGTGATCCAAAGTGGGTTCAATCCAGAACTGAAGCAGAGATCTGCAGAGCTATTGAAATTGTGTAGTCTAAATTACCCGGATTCTATCTTCATTTCTAAATGTAAGCTTACGAGAACTATACAATAAAAGATAGCTTCTCAAAATTGTCCATAAACCACCTTTTGTTTCATTTATAAAAAGATATTATGCACCATTGAAATAGCCTTATGAATGAACGCGATAAGCATGTTTTGATGACCGGAATATTCTATCCCGGCGACTATACTTTTTTTTTTTTTTTCTTTTTTTGTGGTCAAAGAATCCTGAAATACAGCCAAGCTTTGACCGAGAAAGAGGAAAGTGTTAGAAAAGCAGAACAAAGACTCGGATAAAATTGTATTTTTAATGCAAACATTTTTACTTTTCAAAAAGTAAAATTTTCTACCTTTAATTTTGATACCCAGTTGTTTCAAAAACTCTGCCCATTTAAAATAAACCCAGACTGAGCCTGCGGCCTCGGAGGGCTCTGTTTAAAAAAAGATTTAATAATTTGAAATGAAAAGTGAATTTTATTATTGTTTACTGTGCGTTTGACCACCCAGTGTTTGCCACGTGAGAATGCGTCCTCGACTCCGAGGATGTAAACGTGTAATTGTAATTTGTATTTTGTATTTTGGTTTCCTTTCTAGCAGCACGGAGTTTGAGGAAATTAATAAATTAAATTTAACGATTGCATAATGTTATAATTACAGTCACGTGCAGAGCAAGTGCAGATGGAGGGAGGTTGGGTATTATCAGACACGAGTACGTTACTCGTGACCCACCCAAATGCCACCTTCCCCAACTTTACCTTCTCACGAATCATGTGTTCTTTCCACCAAATCCATCATCTTTTTCCTTTTTTTTTTTTTTTTTCTTTAAAGAAAATATATTATTTTATTTACCACAATTAATATATTCCTCTCTGATTTTATTTCTATTCTAAAAAAATCTGCTGAATAGAATCTCCGCCAGCTCAATGCGTGGGCAAGTGTGTGTTTTTTTTTTTTTTTTTTTTTTAATTAAAAAAAAAAAGAGTTATTTTCAATGCAAGTCCTCCAATTATCTCGGACTCTTTATTGTCTAATCCATTAAAAATGTAGGGTAAGGGTATTTTTGAGATAATTAGTTGATGTTGAGAGTATTTTTTATAATTTAATCGAAAATAAAAATAAAAATAAAAATTCGCCCGAATTTGGGTGGATTGAAGTTTGTATAGACCGATTCTGAAACTAAAGCCCTTAAAGCATGGAGTATTTTGTGAGTTATTTTTGGAAAGTGATGGATGATATGAACATTGAGTATCTAATATGAATCCCTGTGGAGGCCATCTCGATCGAAACCAATATCATTAGAGACAGCAACAATGGAGTCATTCCGAGGGCAAGGTGGCATTCAAATGCTATTATCTGCAGAACAAGATGCCCAGCAAGTCATATCCACCGCTAGAAACAGTATACTCTTCTACTTCTATAATCATTTCACAAATTCCTTTGGATAACACTTTTTTTTGTGTAATTGGTGTGGCAGTGAAGATGGCCAGACTGAAACAAGCTAAAGATGAAGCTGAAAGGGAAGTGGCCCAATATCGTGCCCACATGGAGGCTCAATATCAGAACAAACTCTCTCAGGTGATTTTTAATCTTAATCTTGTTTCAAAAACATTTTGACTTTAAATTATTATAACGGCAGACAAATTCTGGGTCCTATATGCAACGGCTGGAAGATGAAACCAAGGTTAAGATCCAGACTTTGAAAGAATCATCCGAAAGAGTTTCAAAGGATGTTGTTCATATGCTTCTCCAACATGTTGCCTCTCCCAGAATTTAGAACAACGGGTAATTCGTAAACAATTTTATTTTAAATTAAAATTGCTTCGTTTGTTTTAATTATAAATTTAAAATGTTTTAATTATAAATTTATTTTAAATGTAATTTCTGTATTGTGATCATTCAACAGTTATCTGTCACCACACGTTTGGATGGTATGAAAGTAATTCAATGTGTTTCTCTTAGTCTCTACTCTAATAATTCAGTGTCACTTCATTTTATTTTGACGAAATTCAATGAAGTTCAACCTACGTTACGATTATTAATCTTAACCGCTTCCATTTCCTAACTAATTCCTGTTACGGAAGCTGTGGGGACAGCGAACTGAATCGAATCAGCAGTCGGTTTGTTTGTAAATCAAACAGAAAAGGATTTTCCTTAATTAATTATTGAATTATTAACGAGAGAAAATATAAAAAGATAAGTAATTCATGGCCTAGTGTCGCCGGAATAGATGTAATCAGTATGAGCCTCTAAGGTTCTTCTGATCAGGCAGTCGTCTTTATGAACCTCTTCGGGAACGATCACCTAGGAGGGATACGTAGAATGGAGCATCAAATTTAATTTAACAATATATTAATTAAAACGGAGATATGAAACTTCATGTTACCGGATTGGCGGTTTCGGCAGAAGTGGCAGTGAGAGTAGTGATGGGACGAGCCTCGGAGGACGGCAGCATGGGGGACATTGAAACGAGTGCTGCAATGGTGAGGAGAGCCGCGAGCTTCGACATTTTCGTGGTTACAATGGAGACGACTGGAGGATTCTAATTGAATAGAAACGGATGAAACGGGGGATTTATGGAGATGACGCCCTACACGCTAATTATGGTTGTTTTGTTTTTTCCTTTTTTTTGGTGTGTTTATATTACATAATTAATATGTTATTGTTTTGGCATTCAATGTTTTTATTGTGGTTGTTAGTTGGAGGTTGATAATTGAGGGTGGAATCTGTAAAAGCAAGCATGCAACCTTGTCGAGAAGGAATTGGATTGGCTGGCACACACAGCAGCAATCCCTTTCATTTTGTAAAAATTTGTAGAATTAAAATTGTATTCATATGTGGAAGAAGAAATGCACCACACAGGCAGGCAGCCCATGTTTTTCTTCTTCCACGTTTTTATGTTTGTTTTGTTATGGATTTAGCCTATTCAATACGCCACTCATCTAACATTTATGTATTCATTTTCATTTTGTTTTCATTTGGTAGAAATGAGTCTCAAAAAATGTTCTATTTCATTCATTACTTTTTTAGTCTAACATTTTTGCATCAACTCATTTCTACAAATTTCATTTACCTCTTAACCTTCATTTCACGTTTTTATAAAACTTTTTTTTTTCACATTTTTAAATAATTATTTTAAGAGGAGATCAACATCTAAGTCTAAATAATTCCCTATGAAAAGAAAAATGTGTAAATTTTTTATTTCTATTTTTATGAGAATTGAAATAAAAACTACTCAACTATCCCTATTATAAATTGAATTTTATTATTCATTTTTTGAAATATGGTTAATTTTGCTATGATTTGTGGTTAATATTACACTTTACCTCAACGGCCATGTTGTTAAACAGAGTTTAAATTAAATTATGTAGTTTTTAAAACAGAATCAAGTTTTATATTTTATTAAAAAATATATATTCTATATTTTACATTAAGATTGAAAAAAAAAAAAACATTCGCAGTTTTTGGGGGTATCGAACCGGAGTCGCTCGTGTGTCAGACCAAAAAAAAGCGAACCACTACTCTACAACAGGAATGATGCGATAGCGCTACAATAATTATAATATAAAAATTGCCCTGCCAAGCCCCCAGGACTACCACTATACTACGACTTCGTTGAAATAGGAGTGCATGTTAAAATAATTATAATTTATTAAAGCTGTTGGCGGGTATCGAACCCGGGTCACCCGGCAATTTCAGAAAGTTTCTATTGGAAGTAACGATGCATTTTTTGCTATAGCATCCGACTCCAACGCACCGCATTTCCCAGAAAAGAAACCGCGCCACCTGGTCGGTAAATTCCTCCTCGGCTTGATTTCGTCTCCCTTCCCTTCTACTGCAAAAACTCTCTCAGAACTAAGATTCCAGAACTTGAGCTTATTTATAAAACTGATTTTCCTTTAGTTTATACATTATTTTTCGTCTTGAGAAAGCAGAAGCTTCCGGGAGAAATGCTTGGAGATGGAGAAGAAACTCCTTGCAGGTGCGACTGATATCCTACCTTCTCTTTAACTAGGGACTTTTGAACCTCATTTCTTAGTTGCTCCACTGGTATATTCGGTTTCTTGACTTCAAATTCTTGTTTCCGATCATTAAATCGTGCTGCATCAATCGGTTCTTAGCAAACTCGCTGATCATCTTGATTTTCATACTTTTGCATTCTTCGAGACTGCAGCGATTAATTATATTTTTCTTGATGTTGTCATAAATCGGGATCGATGTCTAGATGCACAAGTTATTGTTATTGGATAAATTGACAATTGTTATGTTTCGGCTACTTCAACTATTCCGCTTCATCCATTAGTGCTTAAGCTTTGCTTGAAGTTGGAGTAAAGCCCAAGCATACGAAATTAATGAGTTTTTCGTGTTTATTTTTGTAATTTGGTTGTTAAATTTGTAGATATGAATTGCTGAACATGGTTAAGAAGCACTCCAACTTAATAGGACAAACTGAGGTTGATGAGCAAGATGCTTCGGATGTAGAAATGGATCCTCGTTTTTGGCATGATGTTATGGATTTGTATTTTATTCGTGGTAAGGAATCAAGGGGGCGACAAGACGACGATCTCGTATTTTTTATTAGAAAAGTGGTACAATTTTGCTATTGTCTTCTGCTTTCCTTGGTCGCAGAGCCTTTAATTTATTTAGTGCGGTATCAAAGTTCTAATACACTTTCTGACTTATGTTTTGAAAGAAATCTCAAGGATATGGCAACGATGATGATAATGGAGGCACCTCACCTTATTTTGTTCGCAGGTGGGCATCTAAGGTACACAACCTCCATTCTAGGCAGTGATATTTTATGCATTTAATGAATTTATTTTTCTCTGCCAATGTTATCACATTTTCTAGAAGTGATTGGTGTTTTGAGCACCTTTATCGTGCAAATATCTTATGTGTACTGTTATTTGTACAACTTATACTCTTACCTAAATAATGTATTATGACAATAGAATGAGAGTGCCTTGTTTTCCTTGTTTCTGTTCATGCTATATGTTTTTCTATTATTAATATTGTTGCCAATACTTGCTATAAATCAGACTTAGCAGGTCTTCATTTACAGTGTTTATACTATACCAAGTAGAGCACGGTAATTTGTGGTATGATATCTCTAGGCTATCAAGATAAT